GTGTGTGTGTGTGTGTGTGTGTGTGTGGGTGGGTGGGTGGGTGGGTGGGTGTGTGTGTGGGGGGGCAGACTAAGGAGGAGGAGCTGAACTGATGCCAGAGGTGATCTCAAAGACAAAACAGAGAAAATCAACCCAAAAGGGTTAAAAAAAAAAAAAGAAAAAAACACAAACAAAAAAATAGCAAACACAGAAATTGACATGGAGCGACTTCAGCTGTATGTTAATAAACTTTAAGAGTCAACCCAACTCAAGATGGCTGCCACAGCCAAATTACAATAGAAAGCTCAAAAAGGGCTATAACTCAGTACCACTGCAGAGGCGTTGTTTGCAAGGTGTTCCAGAAAACAGGAGCGGAGTAGGAGAAGGCCCTTTTGCCTAGTTCAGTCCGCACTGAGGGGACACTGCAGGTAATAATGTCCTGGGAGCGCACGCTGTAGCTGCACTCACGCAGAGACATGTAGGAGGAGATGTGTTTCCTAGCATTCAGAGGTAGACAGGATCTGTTTCTGAAAAAGAAACCCAGTTTAACTTTCAGTTTTCTTACCAAGTTTTCAACAACAAAATATTTCTAAGAAAAACAAATTTTCAACAGAAATAAATTCTGTTGATGGGCTCAATCACTGAGTTTGTTTTGCTTTCAGTTTGTCGCTTCCGAAGTGAAATTCTGCGTCGGCGTAGTTGAGAAGAGACAAGGTCAAATGTAAACACTGGACCAAACAGTCCTGTCAGATAAGAATTAAATCGGTTCTGATGACCCAACAGAACCGATGCACTCATGCTGATGTGTAGCATTATTCGTGCTGCGTGTGACGTCACGTCTGCTGTTCACTCTGACTCTGACAGGTTTAAATTATAATCTGAACAATCAGAAACATCAGATCTGAGCTTTGAGAGTGGCATACAATGTCAGGATCAGTGGTTTTCTGTTTTCATTTATTTTTCATGGCGTTAGTTTCATGTTCAGTTTGTTCCTCGTGTTTAACTTCTTGAGTGTTTGTATAGTCAGTCAGTTCTAGCTCCGCCCACCCTCACCTGTTCCCAGTCTCATGTAGCCCAGGTGTCTCCTCTTCCTCATCAGGCTGGTCTTTACATCCTGTCGTTGTTGGCCTTCATGCCATGTTTTGGCTCTCCGTGGTTTTTTCCACGTCACCTGGAGTTCAGTTCATTTCTGTGCTGCTACATCAGCTTTTTGAATTTTAATTAAATAAAGTTTTTTGTTTTATTTTGAGGTTCTTCTGCATTCCTGGGTTCAAATCCTACAAGACTGGGATGTAAAAGGCGGTGGGTGATATGCATTTTGTCCTGGATTTAGGCCTTAATGTAGATTGTGCCGTTTGTTCTTCTCATTTGGTTAAAATAAACCTTCATTTCTGGCTCTGATCCAGTTTTGTGTTGCTCTTGTAAACTCCAAACATTTTTTTTTCTTCCTGACAGTATGTCTTAGTTTCAGCTAAAAAAAGAACATTTATATCTAAACTGGTAATGATTTGCAACAACAATCCAGTTAGTTCAGACCTGTGACGCTCTGTTCCCTGGAAGGATTCAGCCCACCTTCTGTTTCACAATAAATGTCCTCCTGCAGCTCAAAGGGCATCGATCCTCAAACTGCCAGCTTGGCAAGAAGTGTCAAGTTTTAACAGCAGGAAAAAAAATAGAGACAAGAAAACTTCACATTTCACTCAGAACAGCAACTACAACAAAACATAAACGGTTAAAGGCCAAATGTTTAAAGCTAAGATCTTCTTGTTGGAGACATTTTGGTCAAACCTTGTGGGATCTTTTGAGTATTTTAGAAGTCAGAGTGTGGTGGGGATGACTCTCAGCTACTACCACACCAAGTTTTAGCTCCAAATCTTTGAAATTGACTGAGCTACTTATTTTACTTTGCACAAGTTTGTTGTTAAGGGCGGCACGGTGACACTGTTGGTAGAGCTGCTCCTCTCAGCGAGAAGGTTGCAGGTTCACCTCCTGGTTTTTCTGGGTGGAGTTTACATGTTTTCCATGCATGTGTGGGTTTTCTCTGGGTACTCCGGTTTTCTCCCACATACCAAAAACATGCATGTTAGTCTGATTGGTAACTCTAAATTGTCCCTAGGTGTGAGTGAGAGAGTGAATGGTTGTTTATCTTGTCCAGTGATGGACTGGAGACCTGTCCAGGTGTCCCTCACTACTGGAGACCAACACCGGCTCCCTGTGGCCCAGAAAGAAGTGGGTAAAGAAAATGGAGACCTCTAACGCTGAGTGAAACATTAAAAGTGACCCTTTCATCTCGTCTTTGTAAACGTGCACACTTTGACTAAGCAAAGACAAACAAAACATGATTTTTTTTTATTGTTGGGGTCTTTGTCAAGAACAGAATTTATGGAAGACCATGTCCCCCTCACTAACTGTTTTTGTTTCATTTCAACATTTCATGTCTCAAAATGTTTGGCTCATTCAGGACATTCCCTGCTGTGACTTTTTGTGTTAAAATTGTTACTTTTTGAAATATTTGCCTTTGTCGGCCATGTTTTCCTCATTGAAAATGAATGGAGCTTCACATCCTTCAAAGCCTTCAGCTGTTTGAAACGTTGTAATGCTCAATGCAGCTGTTGTTGTCTTCAGCTTGTTCTGGTTCAGCTTTTTTCCAACACATTTCTGCTATTCAGCTTTCTTTAGCTCCTTTAGCTTCTTTGTACTCTTATTTCCTGCTAATTTCAACTACTTTTAAGCATTTTTCTGCTAATTTTAGCTGTTTTTTCTGCTTTTTTTCCTGTGCTAATTTCCTCCTTTTTTGCCTCTTTCTAACAAATTAATTTTTATGCTCATTTCATCTGCTTTTCAGCTGATATCAGCTTTTATGTGCTCTTTTATTTTGGTTCAGTCATGGAAAAAAGAAGATTCCCATCCCAAACAGACTAAGGTGTAGTTCATCACGTTTATTTGCAAAGCTTTGAAGAGCAGTCCAGCATTCACAGAACATTAAATTACAAGATTACACTGTTATCAGTGCTCTCATCCGTGTGAAACCTTGACCTGCTCTAATTTCCTGAACCAGACAAGTTAGTTTTATAGAATAACCTTCAGCCCAGCCCTCAGCTCCTCCCTCCATGTCCGAGTTGTCATCAAAAGGTCCACTCTAGACAAGAAGGAGTGGATCTGAGTCAAGAACTCTGCTTGAAGACACGTCACCATATCATATCAACTCTATCTTATCAATATATCAATCAAACCTTGAGGATATCAAAAAACAACCAGTTCTTTCTGTTCCTCACTAATGTCACAGTAAGAGTGATTACATGGGACCGTTAATATCACACATCACAAACATGAGCAGGAGTAATTAATCACTCTTCAGAAAAAATATCCTTCAGTGATAAGCATTCATGTTACATTTTCACAGGAAATGACATTTCTCTAGTTTGATATTTTCTGAAGCAGGAAGCCACCAACATGATGTGAACATTTAAACTCAGATGACTGACCTTCTTGTGTGTTTGTGTTTGTTTCCTGTCCAGGTGCGTATGGCGTGGTGCTGAAATGCAGACACAAGGTAAGACGTGGCGTTCTAACGGTTCTGTTAACATTTTGTGCTGTGATACATTTCCACAAACTTTGCTTATTATTCAAGTTGTTCAGCTCACAAAATTTGCATATGTACATACTGTATGTAGTGGCTGCCATCTTGGATTTTGATGTGGCAAACCAGTTTTCGAAAGGAACCTTTGCTACACCTAGATGTAGCCGCACACCAAAATGAAAGTCGGTACCTCACTTATTTTTCAAGTTATTATGCTCCACCTCCTTCAAGGTGGAGGTGGGAGTGCATCAAGGATCAGATCTGAGACCCTTTTTGTTTGCTTTGGTGATGGTCCAACGAACAGATGAGGTCAGGCAGGAATATCCATGGACTATGATGTTTGTAGATGACATTGTGATCTGTGGTGAGAACAGGGAACAGGTGGAGGAGAACTTGGAAAGGTGGAGGTATGCACTTGAAAGAAGAGGAATTAAAGTCAGCTGTAGTAAGACAGAGTACGTGTGAATGAGTGGGAGGCCAGTGGAACAGTGAGGCTACAAGGAGCAGAGGTCACAAAGGTGCAGGTCTTCAAGTACATGGGGTCCACTGTCCAGAAAGATGGGGAGTGTGGTAAAGAGGTGAAGAAGAGAGTCCAGGCAGGATGGAGTGGATGGAGAAAAGTTTCAGGAGTGATTTGCAACAAAAGGTATCAGCAAATGTCAAAGGAAAAGTTTACAAGACAGTGGTGAGACCAACTATGTTGTATGGGCTGGAGACAGAGACATGGACAATAAAATAAGAGAGAGAACTGGAAGTAGCAGAAATGAAGACACTGAGGTTCTCCTAAGTGACAAGGATGGAGAAGATTAGGAATGAGATCATCAGAGGTACAGCACAGGTTGAACAACTGGGAGATAAAGTTAGAGAGGTCAGACTGAGATGGTTTGTACATGTCCAGAGGAGGGACAGTGGGTATATTGGTAGAAGGATGTTAGAAATGCAGCTGCCAGGAAAAAGACAAAAAGGAAGTCCAAAGATGTGATATATATGGATGCAGTTAGAGAGGACATGGAGGTAGTTGGAGTGAGGACAGAGTGAGATGGAGGAGGATGACTCGCTGTGGAAACCCCTGAAGAGGGAAAAGCTGAAAGAAGAAGAAGAAGATTATGCTCACAACATGCATGAACGGACAGATGGATGGTATTTCCTTTTTTTTTCTTTATTTTGCGCCGGGAACAAAAACTTGGCTAAACATAGCATTTAGTCTAAGGAACTTTCAAGGATTACTTCATGAAAGTGTTTGTTGCACACGTGGAATGAGTAACATATAACACAACTGAGGAAAGAATGAGAACTGAAAGGTCTTATGGACCCGGGCTGATGGACGGAGTGGGGACACCTGGGCAAAATGACAACTGGGGACAGGTGAGAGTGGGTGGAGCAGGAACTGAAAAAGCAAACAACAGAGGAACAGAACACTGAAAAACATAAATAACAACCAAAAGGGGAAACTAAACCAACATTGAACAAAAAGACTATCAAAAAACAGACACACATCCTGACAGTTTTCATTATGTCTGTCCAGCTGTTCATGAGACATTTCAACAAGCGTACAATTTTATCAAGATCTGAAGCAATACCCATATGTCATTCTTGTTTATTACATCACCATGGTAACTCAAAATGCCACTAGAAATGACCACAAACCTCTTGCCGCTCATTTTGATGTACAGTATACATTGTATGGGTGTACCACGTACTGTATGGCTTCCTGTGCTTTTCAATGGTTGGCTCCAGCTGGAGGGAGAATACACTTGATATAAACAGGATATTGAATAAATACGCAAATAGCTTTCCATACTTTGTGGATAGATACTTTTACTCAACACCAAAAAACTTCAGAAACCTTATGTTCTTGTAGGGTTTAACCAACAGCTTTTAAAGTTAAGTCAAGTTCAAGGAAAAGCCATCTTTTTGTTTCTCTGACTGACAATTAACATTTTTCCCACAGATATGACAATGTCAGAGTTTCAGCTTTTTGCACATGAAGCTTTCGTCTCAGACCAGTAAAAGCTTTGCAGCAAGAGAGCAGTTATTTTTACTTTTCCCAGCTGGAAGCAGGGCAGCAGAGGGAGAGGGTGCATTTGACAGACAGGAAGTGATGCGCCGGGAGCCTGTTGGTAAATGGGTCACCCCGTTAGAAGCCTGCAGCAGACCTGCGTGGGAATAATAGGATTTCAAATATTCCAAACTCGCTGGGCTTAAACCCAAACAGAAACCTCTAACTGTGCCGCCGAGAAATTAATTTAAAGTGTTGGTTGTGTAATTTAAATATTCTTTACGCAGTTTGTGTTTGACAGAACATTTAATTAGGCGAGTGAATGCGTGCCAGGATTTGTTCTGCCACTTTGTGCAAGTGTTGTATTAGCATATGTGGGCGTTTGTATGGAGGCTCATGTGTTAGCTTGAATACGTGTTTTGGGAGTGACAATATCTCAACCTACACCAGTCTCCTGGTGCTGGTACCGAGTCACCCTGTGCTACCTGAGAGCTCCCAGGACCTGCTGATTAATCATCTTTGATCATTTGTCTAAAATCTCTTTCAAACTTAATTATTAACTAGAAGGGGGCCAAGATGGGGTAGAGGCAGGGCATCCGACCTGGGACCCGAAAGCCCGATCCCCAGCCATGCCCACATGTCGGGGTGTCTCTGAGCAAGACACCCAATCCCTAATTGCTCCCCGGGCACCCACATAGCTGCCCACTGCTCCACCTGTGTGTATCCCAGGTGCGATGGGTCAAATGCAGAGAACTAATTTCTCCATTGAATGGGAACATACAATGATGACAACATGCACTTAAGATGATCAGAAATTTGCTCTAAGTTTCTTTAAAAGAAATGTCTTCTTAGATTAAAAAAAAAAAAAAAAAAAAACCTTCTGAGTCCTTTGAGAATAAAAGTTAGATTTTTTAGAGCTCAGAAAGGTAGAACCCAGAAATGGAGACTGACACGAGAAGCTCAAATAAAATAACCACTTTTTATTTAACACAGACAAAAGTCTGATGTGGCAGAATAACAAAGGTTAGTGAAACAGAGGAGACACGGAGGAGAACCAGACATGCCAGACTACCAGACACTGACACACTGGTTTCACCAGTTTTTTTATGAGGAAATGACGACGAGATCACTCACCTAAAATCTGACGAGGATCGTGTTCCATCAGACCGCCTGAACCCATCAAACTCTGCCAGGGCGACTGTCTCAACCAGACAGTCCTGATGCTCGAGGGCCACCATCCTGCATGTTTTAGATGTTTCCCTGCTCTTCTCAACTCATCAATCGTTCGTTTGTTTAAATTGTGTGTGTCAAAGCAGAAAATCTTGCTAAAACATGCAGGACAGTGGCACTGAAGAACCAGACATCGCCAGTTTCAAACAAACAAGAACAAGAACCATCTCGCTGTTATCTCGTAGTAGGCACTGTCCCTCTCTCTTGCTGTTCACATTGATCTTCCTGTTGCTACTTCCTGTGTCCTACATGCTCTGTGTCATTGGCGGTCAGCGACACATGTTTTCTCATTTGGGTCAATGATCAGTACTCGGACACTGACTGCATCCAGATCCAGCTCCAGAGACTCAAACATGCCTGGCTGACTGGGACTGAGGCCAGGTCCAGTTTGTTCTCCTCACACACCAACAGGTTTTGGGTAATTGTTTATAAAACCTGGGGGGGAAAAAAATCCCCAGCTTAATGAGACTCGATAATTAACTAATTGGAAATCTTTTTGGCCTTTATTCAGCCATTGTATGATATGAGATTTTTAGCATATGTTAATAAAATGAGTTATTTTTAGGTCTGTTAAATTAAAAGGTGGCTTGACAAAGAAAATATTAAGATATCATAGATAAAACAATTCAAATACAACCTTTACCAGCTTTTTACAGTAGAGATTCAAGTGCAGATATTATTTGCAGACATTGAAGCAGATGATTTTATATTAAACATCCCTGTAAAACACCTGGTTTGTGTGATGAAGAGCACAGACGGTGACATGCAGCTCCTTCCAGCGCCTGAGCCGTCTGTCGTCTGACCTTCTGTGGACCCAAGGACAAACCAGAGCTGAGGGGCTGTGATGTAACTCCCTCTCTGGTCCATTGTCTTCAGCCGCTGAAGCCTGAGGGGATTATAGAAATATATGTTACTGAAAATATGGCTTTCCAATCAATGTAGCATCCATTTAAGGAATGCATGTCACTCATCCTACCTGTATAACCAAGTTTTAAACAAAGATATGGAACGATCTGTTGAATTTTATGAGCTAGGGATGAATCAGCACATCATTTTAAAACCACACCAAGCAAGCCTGTGTCTCAGAAAGTAATCATGTATGGTGTTAGCTCCAGAACTAATATTTGTATAGTGTTAGGTCTAGAGCTAAAATATCAGACATCACAAGTTGATCACATTTGATCATTTTGACCCATATATTGTGCATAAGAACTAACACAAAATATAACTTTATTGTCATTGTGTTATAAATGTTTAGCCTTGACTCCTTGTGTTTTAGTCTTCACTAAACCTATGTAAGTCATCGCCCCAGAATGCATTGTGCCGGTACAATTACCAAGGTCAAGGTTTTCTTTATTGTCATTCACGTCTCGTGATACATGTGGTGGAACAAAATTATGTACACAGGGTCCCAGTTGCATCCAACAAAGTATAAATTGTAAAAGAAAAAACAGTAATAAGATCTAAGATATGAACTAAGAAATATGCTAAACTAAGAATACACTAAACACTTATAGTGCAAAAACAATATGCAATAATTATAGCAACGTCCTTAGGTGAAACATGTAGTTATGTAATTTTTAATTAGGACTTTTTGCGAGTCACAAACAACTTTTAATATATTATATGATACAGTATTATCGTTTCATTTCCAATTTATTGAGTTTTTAACAATTTAATTATTTTATTGTATTTGCTTTTCCCCTTTTACTTTCCAACTGCTAACTCCGTATCTTGACTTTGTACCTTTAAGACGCATCTTGTGCCTTAGTTTACTCACTAAAGTTTGTTTTTTGGTTCCACTTGGTCTCTCACGGCTTCGTTTCTTCATAGGAAACCAACGAGCTGGTGGCCATTAAGAAGTTCAAAGACAGTGAAGGTGTGTGAAGGAACAGTTTTTTTTTAATGACGGAGTGAGAGACGGTGCTGAAAATGTTTTTATGCATCTTTAATCTCCACCCAGAAAATGAGGAGGTTAAAGAAACGACCCTTCGGGAGCTGAAGATGCTCCGGACATTGAAGCAGGACAACATCGTGGAACTGAAGGAGGCTTTCCGCAGGAGGGGGAAGCTCTACCTGGTCTTTGAATACGTAGAGAGGGTAACAGTGTTGTTGTGTTTAATTCACCCAGTCTGAGCTCTGTGCACACAATCCTACTTCTGTATGCTGCTGTGACTGGTCTGCTTTAAAGCTGTAGGATGTTGACTGCTCAGTTAAACAGGAAAAAGTGTCACCATGGCAACACAAAAACTGTGCTGGTGGTGAGTAATGGTATTCCCCACTGTGTTGCCAGGGTGGCCAACCAAGTACTTAAACTGACTGAACTTCAGCTACTGAAGGATGGATGGATGAATTAATGGATAGATAGATGGATGAATGGATAAATAAATGGATGGATGGATGATGGATGAATGGATGGATGGGTAGATGGATGAATGGATGAATAAATGGATGGATAGATTAATTAATGGATGGATGGATGGATGGATGGATGGTAGATGGATGAATGGATGAATAAATAGATGGATGGATTAATTAATGGATGAATGGATGGATGGACATGGATGATGGATGGATGGATGATGGGTGGATCGTTGGTTGGACAGTTGGATGAATAGACAGATGGATGAATAGACAGATATATGGATGGATGGATGGATGAATGGATGATGAATAGACAGATGGATGGATTGTTGGATGAACAGTTGGTTGGATGGATGGATGGATGGATGGATTGTTGGATGAATAGATGGATGATGGATGGATTGTTGGATGGACAGTTGAATGAATAGATGGCTGGATGGAGGGATGGATGAATAGACAGGTAGATGGATGGACAGATGAATAGACAGATGGATGGATGAATAGACAGATGGGTGGATGGATGGCTTGTTGGATGGAAAGTTGATGAATAGACAGATAGATGGATCGTTGGATGGACAGTTGGATGAATAGATGAATGACTGGACAGATGGATGGATGAATAGACTTGGATTGATGGATGAATGGACGGATTGTTGGATGGACAGTTGGATGAATAGACAGATAGATGGATGGACAGATGTCCTGCTGTCCCCCCTCAGCTCTCCTGAAGGTTAAATCTTATCATGGTTTTCCAGAACATGCTCGAGCTGTTGGAGGAGTTTCCGACCGGCGCTCCACCAGATAAAGTCCGCAGCTACATCTTCCAGCTGATCAAAGCCATCAACTGGTGCCACACCAACGAAATTGTCCACAGAGGTGAGCGTTTGACCTGTTTGTTCATCAGCACTTCTAAATCTAGACAGAGTTGTTGCTGCAAAAATAGAGTTAGTTGATTCGGTACAAAACAGTGAATTTGAAACTTGTTTTTTTAGGATTCTCCAGCGTTTAAACCATTTTCATCAAAGTTGTCACCAAAGTAGCTGTGGGTTGTTTCACTCAGCTAGAAACTTTGAACAAAAACAAATGAAATCTGGTACCACTGACGCTCCTTGATCACAACCAGTTTACACCAACCAGAAATCTTCCTGACATTCCAACTCTGGATTTATTATCAGACAAACAAACTCTGACTACAAGAACTCAGACTTGTTTGTGTTGCAGATCTGGAGAAGTTATTTAGCCCAGTAAAATCCAAATACATGATCTAAAATTTTGACATTAATCTAAGGAGCTGTTCAGACCTGTCGTTTGTAATCTGATTGCTGTGAGTGTGTTCAAATCTGGCCGGTTAACTTGTTCCTTAAAATGTTTATGATTGGCTGCTATTTTTATCTGTGTGTGGACAGATGTTTCTGTGAAATCTTCATCCTCTTGCCTATGTGTAGGCGGGTCACAGAGGCAACAGGTCAAGGACCTAAACCCTGACCACTCTCCTGCTCCTCCTGGGGCACCTCGAGTTGTTCCCAGACCAGAATACACATAATCCCTGGGTCTGCCCTGGGGTCTCTTCCCACTGGAAAACCTCTAAAGGGAGGCATTCTAACTAGATGAACCTCCTCAGCTGACCTCTTTCAATGTGGAGGAGCAGCAATTCCGAGCTCCCCTCGGATGACGGAGCTCCTCACCCTGTTTCCTCCGCCCCTCTGCCCTACAAAACAGCTGAAAGAACCAGGATCTGGTTCTTTCAGTCCTGATCAAACCTCATGATTACAGGTGAGGGTTGAAAGATAGACAGACCAGTAAATCTAGAGCTTTGCATTTCAACTCAACTCTTTCTTCACCACCACCAACCGAACCAGCACCCTCATTACTGAGGATGAGGCCCCAGTTTGTCGACCATCTCCCACTTTGTCAGGAAAAAGACAGCTAGATACCTGAACTCCTCCACCTGAGGCAAAGAGGACTTGACCCAGAGGGGTCATTTTAACCGGTTCTGGTCTAGAACCATGACCTTAGATATGAGGCAAAGACTCCCGGCCAACCTAGATTCAGACATCTGAACTACGTTATTATTTTGACAGTAACATCATTCCAAAACTTTAATTACCTAACTCTGAGTCAGAGCCAAGTCTGAAGATTTTAACCCATCAGCCTTCACCCTGTGCTGGTCTCATTACGTTAATATAATGCAACATGTTGCTGCTCAGACTGTTGTCCTCTGATTGACAGCTGTTCCAAAAACCAAAGAGAAATTCACCCATGTTCTGTCCTGTAATCCATGACTACGATAATAAAATTAGAACAAATTATCAATACTTTATGCTGAAATAAACAAAACAAGATTTATCTTGAGAATGATCCCATGGATTATGTGACATAATTTTATTTTTAATCTTTTCCATGAAACGTCTAAATTAGTTCAATGTGAGGTCCTACAGCATGGTTCTGGATGGATTACCACCCCACCTCTAAAGGTGGTGGTCTGATCCATCTCTAAGGGGACAACTGTAGAGGAACACCTCACCTTGACAAACATCATTCCTGTGTTTTGTCTTTGAAACTGTTAAAATAAGATTTAATTCTAAAGATGCCATATTTTGAATGTTTATACGTGAGAAATGTGTATTTTAAGTATTAAACTTAAAACATGCAATGTCAAATTGAACAAACAAAGACTCTTTCTTTGTTATCTTCATGGGAACCAGTCTGAGAACTCCTTTTACATAAGGGAAGAGTTCAAACCTAGCAAGTTTGCATGTTTAGAAACCCCAAGGTTAGATTGAACAAAGCCTCTTTAAAAACGATCTCTCAGTTTCAAACAAAGGCTTTGAGTTATTGAGTTTATAATGTCAGGTGAGGTTAATACAATAACAGGTTTTTTTTATTACATTAGTGTCAACTTAGGAAGTTTGTGAGCAGAATATTAGTAAAATTATGTCTGTTCATTCCCAAGGGAATAGAGGAATCTTATTTTAATAGTTTCAAAGAGAAAACACAGGAATGATGTTTGTCAAGGTGAGATGAACTCTTTCTGAGGTGAGGTGTTCCTACACACTTTCAGTTCCCAGTGAGGCCATTCAGACCTGTACTCAGTGCCACTGGATCCACTCAGTGTTGGTTCAAATCAGAGTCAAGCGACAGGTGTAAACAGCCTCTAAATGTGCTTACATCCATTTTGAAGAATTATTTTCATTGTAGAAAATCTTTGTTAGGTTCTTCAGACAAAAACAAACAGATATAAGTGGATTTTTTTTCTAAACATGTTTGAATAAAGAAGGACAGTGATACAAAACTTTCTCTGTTCCAGATATTAAGCCAGAAAACCTTCTCATCAGTTCTTCAGATGTTCTCAAACTCTGTGACTTTGGTGAGTTTTCAGATTATTTCCTGTTAACAAAAGAAGAAAAAAAAAAAATAATACA